CTACACAATGGAGTACTATGCAGCTGTTAGAAAAGATGAAGTCATGACATTTACATACAAGTGGTCACTGTCACTGTCCTCCCGTTGTTAATCAATTTGCTCGAGCGGGCCCAGTAACATCTCCGTTGGAGACTTTGTTGTTACTGTGTTTGGCATATCGAATACATCACAGGTAGCTTGCCAGGCTCTGCTGTGTGGGCGAGATACTCTCGGTAGCTTGCCGGGCTCTCCAAGAGGGGCAAAGGAATCGAACTCGAGTCAGCCATGTTGGCAGCGTGTAAGACAAATGCCCTACCACTGTGCTATCACTCCAGCCCCTGCTAGAACCTCCAAACATACAAGTGGTACTATATGGAAAGTATCAGGCTAAATGAAATGAGTCAGAAAGAGAGGGACAGATATAGAAAGATTGCATTCATCTGGGGAATATAAAGTAACAAAATAGGAAACTAACATCCAAGAATAGTTAAGTACCAGGAGGTTCACTCCATGGCTTGAAGGTCAGTCGCACATGCTAGGGGAAAGGGCAGCTCAGATAGAGAAGGGAACACCAAGTAAAGGGTGTTTGGAGGATCCTCCCAGGATGGGAGATGCATGCTGAAAGTAGACTATAGACCGAACATGATTGCCACTTAATGCCTCTTCTGCAAACCTCAGCACCCAAAAGGAAAGAGAGAACAAAAGGGATTACCCTGCCACAGAGTAATGGGGGGATGGGGAGTGGGAGGGATACTGGGATCATTGGTGGTGGAGAATGAGCACTGGTGGAGGGATGGTTTTGTGCTTGGTATAACTGAAACCCAAGCACAAAAACTTATAAGTCTACAACTGTACCTCATGATGTTTCACTAATAAAATTTTTTTAAAAAAGAAAGTAAAAATGAATATGAATCTGTTCCATAGAGAAAGAATTGGTGGGGGGAATCCTTACCAAATGTGTATATTCAATCATCACTAAACATTTTTAAAATTCCACATCTTAATAATCCCTCAATGAAAAATCATATTTTTAATTTTAAGAAATAAATTTAATGTATAGATAAGAAGTAAGATATCCCTAATAATATTAATAAAGAAACTTAGTTCTTCAAAAAAAATAATATTGTTTAGAAAATAATACTGCTTCTTCTCCTAAGAACTCATCATTAACCACCAGCACAGCCATGCGGACTTCCCTTATCTAACCATTCCCCTTCTAGAAATTTGTTTACAAAATTTAGGTCAATATTATTTCTCATCCCGGAGCACCTCAGGGGCCACACGGGTTTTCCTCTGATTCCGAGAAGGCCATTCCTCCTTGGCATGGCAGCGAGAGTGGAGTTTGTTCCCACGACCACTTGCTGTGTCTGTGACTTCAGGGGCTGCTACCAAAGAGATGGAGAGCCGTGGTGTCTGCAAAGACCACGGTCTCCTCACTCCTCCTTCCCCCAACCAGAATCTGTGGTCTCCATGGGCCCTCAATCATGGCCCACATCATGTGGACATGCTCACAGCTGCTCTGGCTCTGCACGGCAAGCCCACTTATTTGCTGGATTCTTCTTGGCAAGTGATGCTGTAAAGGTCAGACACAGCGGGGGCCTCCCTATCCCGCCTCCCACGGCTCCCACTGCTCCACCCGGGGCAGGGCCCGAGAGAGGCCACCAGAGCCTCTGGGGGGAAGGGGAGGCTGGCGGGGTCTGTCAGCCAGAAGCCTGAAAGCATGTGTGTGCGCTGATGGGGTGGGCAGAGTCAGCTTCTGGCAGTGCTTAGAGAGCCACACCGTTGGAATTAATTTTTTTAATCAGTAGAAAAAATATTTCTAATTTTGTATTTTTTCCCTTGGGCTGGAGGGATAGCACAGCGGGTAGGGCACTTGCCTTGCACGCAGCTGACCCGGGCAGACCCGGGTTGGATTCCTCTGCCCCTCTCGGAGAGCCCGGCAAGATACCGAGAGTATGGCACCCGCATGGCAAAGCCTGGCAAGCTACCCGTGATGTATTCGATATGCCAAAAACAGTAACAACAAGTCTCACAATGGAGACGTTACTGTTGCCCACTCAAGCAAATCGATGAACAATGGGAGGACAGTGCTACAGTGCTACATTATTTCTCATAAACACTTTTCCCAGTCAAAGCTTTGTCTTCTGTGATTCCTTTCCTCCATCCCTTTTACCTCCATTTTTTTTCTTTTTTGGGTCACATCCAGCTGGCTCTGCACTCATGAATCACTCCTGGCAGTGTTTAGGAGACCATGTGGAATTCCGGGGATTGAACCTGGGTCAGCCATGTGCAAGGAAAATGCCATACCTGTTCTACTATAGCTCTGGCATTTTATTGAATCACCATGAGATACAGTTACAAAACTTTTATGTTTGAGTTTCAGTCATACAATGATCAAAAACCCATTCCTCCCCTGGTGCACATTTCCACCATCAGTGTCCCCAGTATCACCCTCCCCATCCCAACCCTCACCCTGCCTCTCTGGCGGACAATTTGCCCCATACTCTCTCTCTACTTTTGGGCATTATGGTTTGCAATATAGGTACTGAGAGGCTATCACTTTTGGTCCTTTATCTACTTTCAGCACACATCTCCCATCTCGAACCATCCATCCAACCATCATTGACTTAATGATTCCTTCTCTATTCCAGCTACCTTCTCCCCCAGCTCATGAGACAAGCTTCCAACTTTGGAGCAATATTCCTGTCCCTTGTGTCTACTGTCCTTAGGTGTCAGTCTCATATTGTGTTATTTTATATTCCACAATTGAGTGCAGTCCTTCTATGTCTGTCCCTCTCTTTCTGATTCATTTCACTTAGTATGATATTCTTCATGTCCATTTACTTATAAGCAAATTTTATGACTTCATTGCAAATTTTATGACTTCATTTTTTTCTAATAGCTGCTTAGTATTCTATTGTGTAGATGTATCATAGTTTCTTTAACCAGTTGTCTATTCTCAGGCACTTGGGTTGTTTCCAGATTCTCGCTATTGTGAACAGGGCTGCAATGAACATACAGGTGCAGATGTGATTTCTACTGTGCTTTTTTTGTACCCTCTGGATTTATTCCCAGAAGTGGTATTGCAGGTCATAAGGAAGCTCAGTTTCTACTTTTTGAAGGAATTCCCATATTGTTTTCCAAAAAGGCTGGACAAGTCGGCATTCCTACCAACAATGAGATTCCCTTTCTCCCCACATCCATGCCAGCACTGGTTGTTCTTGTTCTTTTTGATGTTTGCCAGTCTCTGTGATGTGAGATGATATCTCATTATTGTTTTGATTTGCATCTCCCTGATGACTAGCAATGTAGAACATTTTTTTCATGTGTCTTTTGTCCACTTTTTACCTCCATTCTTCTTTTTTGTAACACTTGAGCAAATGTTTGAAGGTTAGCACTCTTTAACATGAAAAGCTAAGCTTTAAGGATAAAGATGCAGAAGTCATGATTCAAGTTACCTGGTCCCATGGTGATAAAGTCCTGCGTGTTTCTAAGACCCCTGCATCATGGAGTTCAGTCATTTAATAAGATCACAATTAGTGATATTTAAGGGTTCTCTCCCTGATCTCTTAGGTGCCCCATGTTTGTGCGGAGCAGATTTCCATTCATTACTGCTATGTTCAGTACAGATATCTAATTTTATGCAAATATCATTGATATAGAAAAAGATGCAGTTACCCATATACTGGAGCAATAGCACAGCGGGTAGGGCGTTCGCCTTACAAGCGGCCAACATGGCTGACCCGAGTTCGATTCCTCCGCCCCTCTCGGAGAGCCCGGCAAGCTACCGAGAGTATTCGATATGCCAGACACAGTAACAACAAAGTCTCCAATGGAGACGTTACTGGGCCCGCTCGAGCAAATCGACGATCAACGGGAGGGCCTTTACCTTTACCTTTACCTTACCCATATACCATTTCTACAAATGATATTCATAGTTCAGAAATTGAATAATCACTGTGAGATACACAGTTGTAAAGTTGTTCATGATTGGGGTTCAGTCAATGTTCCTACACCCATCCCTTCACCAGTGTATATTTCCTGACACCAATGTTTCCCGTTTCCTTCCTATCATCCCCTCCCAGCCTGTCTCTGGATCTATGACAGATATATTTCTTCTCTGTCTCTCTGAATCTTCTCTCTCTCTCTCTCACCCCTGTGTGTGTATGTGTTTGAGAGAGAGCGAGAGAGAGAGAGAGCACCTTTGAATCTTTGCTCAAATCATTGCTCCCAAACTAAAACTCCATAATTACTGTGGAGAACAAACCACTGAAAATTCAGCTGGGAAAATCAAAAGTGCAGTTGATTCAGCCTCTATACAAATATACTTCCCATTTATCAAGGGTTAAGTTTAAATTAAAGGTTGGTGATCAGAAATGCAAAAGAAGTTGCTAAAAGTTCTTAAAGAATTCCCATGGTGATTACTATTTTAAAGTTAAAATCCTTTTAAAAATAGAAAGTGACTAATTTTTTAAATTGCTTTTCTAGCTGGATTTTCCATATTTATGTATATTAATTTTTCTGGCTTCTTTGAAGAAAACATGTGGAAATTTCTACTGTATAAGAAAGTTCCTAAGACAGGCATCAAGACTATCTTCAATTATTAAATGGGCATTTGCTTTCTTCAGCACTATCTTCCCAGATCACAAGGATACATAGCTGGGGGAGGAGGGACCACAGATTGCAGCAGGATAGAAGAACAATCCAGGCTCAATTTCCTTTGAGACAGAGTATATAATTGAACAGGATCTGCATGTTACAGCAAAGCAAAGTGTGAGAACTGTGCTGGTAAGACAGGTGGGGGATCTCAGAGAATATAGGAATTGGACAACCTTCAGCAGTTCACACTGTACTATCTGCCTTCTTCATTTCTGTGTTTTCTGAGTCAGCATTAGCTAAATTTTCCATAAAGCCATCCACAAAGCACAGCCTCGGCATTCAAGGGACGTCATTCATTTCCCCCAGTGACCTTGACAAGTCAGAAGCCTGAAACCAGGGAAATCCGGATGTCTCTATTATGAAGTGCAGCAGTGGGGGCCCCTACATATTTCCAGAAATCTCTATCCACACTGGCAATTGTCTGCCTCCGTTGCTTCCAGTGACCATCTGAGGAGCTTCTAGCTTTAAAGGAGTTGGCACAATGGCCAGTTGCAATAGTCTTTTGTGGCTTTTTACCTCTCTCTGGACCACAGCGTTCCTGGTGCAAGGCTCTCTCCGAAAAGAAGGTAGGTGTCTCACTAGATTTCCAAACTGAGCCCAGATTTTGCAAACCATTCTAAGCCTACTGACCTTTCAATGTGGACTGCTGGGAGGGGGTGGTCCTCAGTGAGAAGATTCATAGTGTTGCTCTGCCAGAAATGTCTTCACCATATTATCAACTTCACCAAAATATGTCACATTTACCTTGATGTTATCTTGACTTTTGTTTTTGATTATGCAATTTTTATGAGAGTATTTGAAGCAAAACATTGAAGAGAAATTTTTTTCCTGTTGGATAAGCAAACTATCATTATAGAAATAGTTTAGCAATCACTAAGCCTGGGGAAGGCAACTAACTTTCAGTAGATATTGACTCACTTTATATTGTTGGAAGCATAGTATGATTATTCTCATGTATTTTAACGTAAATTGAAAAGAAAACTAATGAGGGTGGGGAGTATGAAAATTAAGTTTGAAACCTATCCATCAGCTTTGTACCATAGAAATGACTTGAAATGATTTCTGGGCTATTGAGATGCCTACATGGTAACCTCAGTCTGTGCTATAGGCAGAAAATTATAACCAGCAATATATGTTACAGCTCTTGGAAAATAAAAATTAGAGATCTTTAAAATAAAATTTCTACAGAACAAGGAGTAAACCCTGCTAGGTGTGATTCCCCCACCCCAAAAAAACAAACAGAAAAAAACCAAAACCCATGGGTTTTAAAGTTAATTTAATACCTACTTGCTCTTTTCTCAGGCCTGGGAAAGTTATTTAATCTCCAAGAGTCTAGGCACAGGGAAACAGCACTCCTTGACTCTGCACTACCTCCCAAGCATTACCTGGTGTGGCTCCAGAGACTCTAGCAACACTGGTACCAAGCAGCATCATATTCCTAGGTCTGAGTACGCAACTGTCAGGCCCAAAAGGATAAATTTGCCAGAAATGGCCCCCAGACCCTCAGAATATTACTTGGGAAACTCTCCTCAATTAATTTATTAATTGACCGAATTTATTGAAAAATTATTATCTGTAACTTCACCTTTATATTTTAAAATGTCAGGGTTTACAATGGGAACAAACCTATGGCAAAACTGTGGCTGGTGGAGGGGAGTGAGGATCTGGGGGGGAACATGTTCCATGGATGATGTGGTGATATCAACACTTGGACTGCATGGTAACATACACTTAGAAGAGGCACGAAACAGTATTCCTAAAATACATAGTCATGAAAACTATGTTCTCAATTTTTTTAATGAAGTATTTTTTTTAATTTAAAGGAAATGCAAAGCAAGTGATCCCTTTGCACCTTAGTTCTCAGTTATAGGCTGGCTGCTCATAGCTTCTTTATTATTTGGTAGCGGTGAACTTTGATGAGAAGTAAAAGGAAGGAAAAATAATTTTTAAGAGTCAAATATGTTTTCCAAAGCATATGACTTGTAAAGGATAGGAAAACATATAAATTTAAAAAATATTATGCCATGTGCTAAAATGATTTCTAGTTGTGACGTGAGCATCATTAGTAGGAACCCTTTTAGAGACCCAAACTCTCAAACTAGCCTGTCACACAGGAACCTTCCAACTCAATCTTGAGAATCACTCCTATATATAATCATAGTTCCTAACTAATATTCTGTGTGTGCTTTCAGAAATATCCTGTATTTACTTTTCTGAGTTTTTATGTCTAAAAAAACTAATTTGTTTGGCGAGATAGTACAGTAGGTAGGGTGCTTGTCTTGCACACATACAACTCAGGATCAATCCCCAGCACTGCCTACCACCTGAACCCTGCCAGGAGTGATCCCTGAGCACATCATTATGTCCCTAGAATAAACAGACGACAGAAAAAAAAAGAGTAAACCCCAAGGGCCTGAATCAGTATGTGTATATAAATGAAACAATCTGAGTGAATATATTACCACACATTTGCAAAGTTTTAAAATTTTCTGAGTCGGGATTTCCTTCTTTCTTTTTTTATTTGATGAATTGGTCACTTCCAATCTGTGCTTAAGGGATTTATGGCCTCTGCCATAGATTCATATTGTTTTCCTTTTTGTTTTATTTTTGGCCACACCCAACGGTGCTCAGGGCCTACTCCAAATTCTGTGCTCAGAGATCACTCCTGTGGGGACTGGGAACCATATGTGGTGCTGAGAATCAAACTCGTTTTCCCACTTAGTACAAGAAGCACCCGACCTGCTATACTATCTCTGTGGTCCCTGATTCTTGACCAGCTGGTATCATGAGAAGAACTGAGAATGCTGTACGGCTTGGATTCTGTGGCGTCAAGAACCACCAAGCCACCCTGGGCAGCCTCTAAGGTCACACTCAACTATACTGGTGAGAAGCAGGGAGATGAGAGACTTTTGATGCCAAGGATCAAACCACAATGGTACACATGCATTGCCATCAAACCCCTGTATCATCTTTCCAGTCCAAGCGATTTTTTTTTCATGATGAAAATATTTAAGCGAGATAAATTATAAATTACAAAGACACAAAGAGAGAAGAATCTGACACAGAGTAACAGCACCAGGTGCTAAATATTGGCGTTGATATTAATACCCATATTGGTATAGATAATTACTATTGATATATAGACTTTGAAGAGGCTGTTCCATCACAAACACTTGTATTACATGTAGGTTCTCTGGTCTCTTTGTGAAAGCAGAATGTAGCAGCAACAAGGCCATCTGTAAACACACATCCCAGGGACACTGTTGCTGAGCACAGCACAGTCACACGGAGGACTCAGTAATGCTCTTTGCAAGATGTTCATATTGGCACCTCACAGAAATGCCTGTGTAAACCTGGGATAGGAAAACTGGTTAAGGACAGGTCAAACATATCTAAGTACTGGATCATACTTCTTATCAATATTCATGAACATGCAGCTAGGGAAAATCAGAGAGGATGAAAGGGTTCTTGGAGTTTAGGGCTGAGCCCTCAAGCCTTAGGGAAGGAGTTCAGAACTGGACTGACTCTCCTGGTCCATTAGCCCAGTGGGGGATGGCCCAGAAGTCTCTAGTATGTTTTCCACTGATGCTGTCAGCCCGCTCTGCTGCCTGCTGCCCTGCAGGGCTCCCTCTTCTCTTGTGTTACAGGCCACATATGTTACATTCATTCTTCCCTGTGTACATGTTGTTTTGTAGCAAAGTTATATTGAGTCTGGATCTTATGAAAATCTGCTTTTAGGCTGCTGAACCCAAAAGAATATGGCTTTTGTCAGTGGTTGTCAGTGCAGTCATTGCCCTAAAAAGAAGCAATTGGTTTTTTTTGGGTTTTTTTGGTGGGGGGTAGATGGAGAGATAGTACAGCGATTAAGATAATCCTTGCACATGGATGATCCAGGTTTGATCCCTGGAACCCCGTATGGTTCCATGAGCACTGTCAGGTTCCTGAGCAGAGCTGGGTGGAAGCTCTGAGCTCCATTGGGTGTAGCCCTCTAAACCAAAACAAATAAATAATCTGGTAGGGACCAGGAGTGTGTCTTAGTCGTAAGAACACTTGCCTTGGATGTGTGGGTTTCTGAGTTCAATTCCTAAACCATAAGTTCCTCTGAGCACCTCCAGGAATGCTATGACCCCCCAGTCCCAAGCTGAGAAGGGACTCCATGCAGAGCTAGAAATTTCCCAGAAACCAAAACTAAAACAAAACACTTAGATAAATTAGCAAAACTACATTAAGAGCAGTTTCAGATAAACCAGGGGGATTTATCTAGCCCATTATGAGTTGGGGAAGGGTTTAAAGTTTGGGCTGAACTACCCACTCAAGTGAAATTTAGGTTTCTATGCTTTTTAATTACTATTATTATTTAATTGATTGATATTGGTTTTGAGGTCACAATGACCATACTCAGGGGCTATTCCTGGATCTGTGCTCAGAAGCGACCCCTGACAGTAATGTCAGGGATTTGAACCAGGGTTAGCAGGATACAAGGCAAATACCTTAACTTCTGTACTAGTCAAAAATATTTCATCTCTGTTTTTTTCTTTTGTTAGGTTTGGCTATACCTAGAGGTGCTCTGGGAGTACTCCTGGTTCTGTACTCAGGCATCACTCTTTCGGGGAATTTGTGTAGTGCTAGAGGGTTGAACCGGGATCATGTAAAACAAGCTCCTTGAACCCAGTACTATTTCTTCAGCCCAAATTTACTTTTATTTTTACCAGTAAGGATCATAGGAAATGTATGAGGTGTGTAATATGATTTAGGCCTGCACCAACTAGGCATATGGAACAGGTGACAGATCACATCAGAAATGAAAGGTGGACATGAGTTACCTGGGAATGAACCTGAGTCCGTTGGGATAAAGAAAATAGGATTAATTGAGTTGCCCTTGGGAGATCAGTTTTTTGGGTTGTTTTAAGAGCCAGGATTGAACCCAGGTCTCATGCATGCCAGGCATGCCCTTTATCACTGAGTCCTACTCTCGCTCCCTAGGTCAAATTCTCATGAACAGGTAGAAACCAAGTCGTATGTGACTTCTTGACAGCACTGGACGAAGTTAGTCTAGACTGCAACAATAATTTCCAGACATAAATAAGGTTTCATTTACAATTGAAAAATTGAACTTACTAGGCAGGATATTGACCAGAAAGCCACTGGACCTTTGCTGGGAAGACTTCACTCTCCATTGTCCTTGGGGAGAGAAGGTCTCCCTGAGAGTACAGTAATAGAATAAGTACCTAGGTCTTTGTAGCTGTCAGTTACTCTTCCCCTCTACTATCCATCATCGGATTCAAATCCTGATCTGAACAAGATGACTGACCCATGAGAGATGCCTGTATTCTCTCCTTACCTGTGGAAGAAGGAGAGCTGGTGTGGCTTGACCTGTGAATCTCTGAGCCAAAAAAGAAGCAATAAATGCACTGTCACATGAAGTTTTCCTCATCAGTTCTCATGTTTCGCCTAGATCCTCCTCAAGTAGATTACAAATTCTAAATCTGTGTCATCATTCAGACATTCCTAAAATGATTCCTTTGCAAATGCTCAGCAGCAAAGATGGCCTCAAAGACAGCCTCAGATAGGTAGAAGATTGGATATCCTGGTCACACTGAGGGCAATCAGCTCTTGTACCAACACCTACTGTCAATCTTGCAAAGACTGAATGTAGAATGGGGGTGGCTGAAGAGTGAACTGCAGTCTCACCTACTCTCTGAACAGGGATCTTAAACTGTTTTTGCTGTGAGTAATTAGTGCAGTGCTAGTATTGCTGGAAGCAGGGTTCATCTCTCATTTTCTTGATACATTCAAGAAAATCTGCGTCGGGGAAGAGATTGACAATATTTACAACAAACTTGAGGTACTAACATAAAAATGTCTTCAATTCTCAACCCTATACAATAGTTACTCCCTTAAGTTTCAATAAGGAAATTGATTCAAAGTAAGTAATTAGCTGGAGGTTGCACAGTTAGTAAGGAGCATAGGCCAGATTCAAATATGATCTGACTCTGATAGTTAAGAGTTCCTGTTTCCTCCAGCAACCAGTGAGTAACTCTGCCCCCCAATGGTCAGAGAAGACCTGGGCCTGAACAGAGCTCACAATCGGATCAAATGCAACATTCCTTAGCCCATCTTAGAAATAGTGGTGTCCCAGACCTGATACTGGATTAGAATATTTTTTGATATTTTATTAACCTAAACCCTGAATTTTAACTTTCCAAAACTCTTAAACATTCAATTTTGGGGAGTGGGAACATAGGACTACACCTAACTGTGCTCAGGGTATAAACCTGGTTCTTGACTCAGGGATCACTCCTGGCAGGAGTACCATATGTGCTGCTGGGGTTTGAAATGGAATTTGTAGTATTCTAGGCAAGTGCCTATTCCTGTAATTATCTCTCCATCCTCCAACCAAGCATTCATTTAATCCATTTAATCATTCATTAAATGATTATGGATAATCATTTAATTATCCATATAATAAATAAGATCTTTAACATGGTGGATAATGATCAAAGTGGGTGAAAGATTCTGCTGGGATGATAGCACATGCCCTCCTAATCCAACAGGATGCCTTGGTGAAAAATGCTTAGTCTGTGTATTTCTAAACTTCATCCAAGTCTCTCAGAATCCACTGCTGCATGAAGATAACAGTGTTTTACTAGAAGGGATATCCCATGAGCTAGGAACATGAGCAGGACCAAGCTGACCACCTATGCGATTCCTTTGCAGATATTTCCATTACAGTGCAATGCAGAATCATGGGAGTCACCCTTGTAACAACTAAATCTCAACTAAATCTCGCAGAAGCCAAGGAGGCCTGTAGTCTGTTGGGACTAACTCTGGCCAGCAAAGACCAGATTGAAACAGCAAGAGAGTCTGGACTTGAGACTTGTAGGTGAGCAACAGTTGGGTCCACTAACACTGGAGCTGGAGCTGGAGATTTTTCAATTTTGTGTTTGTGTTCAGCTAATGATATGAGCAGAAATCCAGCTAATGTATATTCTGTTACAGCTATGGATGGGTTGACAATGTGGTCCTGGTCGTCCCTCGAATTACCAAAAACCCCAAGTGTGGCAAGAATGGGATCGGTGTCATAACCTGGGCCAATCCACCCAGCAAGAGGTCCGGTGCCTACTGTTACAATTCATCCGGTGAGATTGAAGCCTCTGCAAGTGGCATGTTTTCTCTGTGTTTCTCTAGTACTGTTACCTGTTTGAGAAGAATAATCTTGAGCATCAGTAGAAGTAGTCTACTGCTGGTGATGGTCATTAATGCTCCCAAGACTGTGTCTGTGTCCAGGCAGTGTTTCCCTGAGAGGAAAAAGAGTATTAAAAGGCACTGTAGAGAGGGTTCATTCTAGGAGACTCCATTCCTTGTGATCCCCATTTTATAAGCTAAACAAAAAGAAAGGGAGGAAGTATCACTATGGACAAAGCAATGTATTGAATCTGTTATTGCACCCTGACCTATAAGGTCAGTTTTATTACCTGCACTTTCTTATCCCCTATTATATTATGAAAGAGAAAATTTAGTAGCTGTACTTGAGATGTTTAAGAACAAGACCAAATTTCCACTTTATGAAGAAGAGTGTTGAAACTCAAAAGGAGAACTAATTTTTTTCATGGTTACATGCAAAATTTGTCCTTTTAATCTTGCTTGGAAACCCTGACAAACACAGCCTAAATCCTTTTATACAAGTAACTTCTTAGAAAAGTTTTCTTTTGCTAAATATTTGTTCTTGCTTTGTCACAAGAACCTCTAATTTATATTTCATGTATACTTTATATAATTTATACTTCACATATACTCATAAATTTGAAGTTTCCCAGGCCAAAGAGATAAATAATTGGTTATACAAAAAAATCGATAATAATTAAAACACATACAATTAATTGAAGTCACAACTTAAGTTCCACAAAAAACTTGTGAACCCAAATGGCAGCATAATCCATGTAATTCTGTGAACCAGGGACTTTGACATTGGAAAGGCCCCGATGGTGATTTGTCCAAATTCCCACACTTCATGTATGAAACAGTTAGAGCTCAGAATGGAAGGGTGACTTGATCAAAATCCTGTAGTCAGTTAGTAGCAGAATCAAGTCTGGAATGTAAAATTTCCAACATTTTCTCACCATCCTCCTTCTCCCTGCCTCTTCAGCACACCTTCTTTGACTGGAGAACTAGTTGACCTTTTCTTCCAACTGTCAATGTGATGATATGAGACCCAGCTCTCTAGGCTAAACAAAACAGATGAAGAAGTTGTGGATTCGTGTGCTTCCTTACAATTTTATTTAACTTATATTTCCTTCTCATGTGTCCTGGATGAGATGTGCTCCATTTTTTGGATAAAATACTTTGTAGATTTACTTTGGATCACATCACAATAAAAAAAGGCACTTGGTGTCCATATTTCCTACTAGTTAGTACGCAGTCTTGATCTAAATTTTAATAAGATGGCAACCACCAGACTTCTCTAATAAAATCATAAAGGTAAGTATATATTGTGTAGTGTGATTTGTTGACACTATATGAATAGTCTGACTCCCAACAATGTTTTACCTAGGTAAACTACTGTTTAAATTAACAAACATTGGTGATACCTAAGATAGTTATTTATTAATTTTGAGGCAACAAAATGATTATTTCAAAATATTTTTCTTTTACTCCCTCTACCACAAGGCCCATCCTTCTCATTGCCTAACTAACTCCTGCTCTGTATTTATATCTCAAATATCTCCTCCCTGAAGCCTTCCCACACCTTTCCTCCTATCTGTTCTGTTAGACTCCAATCACTCTTTGTGTTGAATATCTATCAGAGCACTTGGCATATTCTAGAGAAATCATAGATCAGGAGACGAAAACAAGATCCTAATTCTTCCAGGTGAGCTTCATTGTGCCCAGACCAGAAGAGTGAGTTGCTATTTCTTACTCATTCTGTGTTCCTATTGGTTAGATTGAAAGGAGAGATAAAGTTATTCTCACCTCTTATTTTCTGTGTCTATCCTCTGTGCTCCCCCTATACAAATTTAGATCCTCATTAATCATATGCCAAGTGACAGAAGAATATCACTTACACTTTTCAAGAGAGATAGCTGATACTTACTCTGCTCACAGTCATGAAAGAATCATTGAACTTTTAAACTGAGCCACTCCATGTTTTATCTTGTGTGGTGATGGTTAAATACAAGCACAGCATGAGGCCCGGCACCAGTGATTTTAACCCACAACCATTGTTGAGATCACTTTGTTCTAGATTATCTCAAAGATGCAGGTTTTAGGATTCCAGGTATTTCTGTATTCTCCTATTTCTATACAATAATAATATCTTTCTCTGATCTGGGTTATTTTCTCTCCTCTACCTTTTATCCTTCCAATACTTCCAGTAATTTATTTTTGGTGACTAACTATATGAGAATAGAAAATACACTGGAAAATCAACCACACTGTACTCACTTGTATATTTCTGGTATAAGCACTTTCAGTCTTATATCTCTTGGATCATGCTATTATTTTTGACTACATATTCTATTCTTTCTTCCACACTAGATGAGTTGTTGGTCTGTTCATACTAGTTTTTTTATTCATCAAACATACTGAGTTCCTCACCTGCAGCTGTTGAACTGGCTGGTCTCTTAAAATGCTTTTTCCTAGATCTTTGGTGATTGTCCACATTTCTTTATTAAGATCTCAGTTTATGGATCAGCACCTCAAGGAGACTTTTGTATATAACTGTCTCTCACACCCTCTACACTCTCAGTTTAATCCTTATTCTGCTTCATTTTCTTCTCATCATTTATTGTCTTATAAAATTTCTAAATATTATATTAAATTTCTATCCTCTATTCCCATATCTGAATTTTTGTCTTGCATGTACTATGTTCCTAGCACCTAACTGTGAGTAGTAGATAAATAAATATCTACAGATTGAATGCATTGATCTACTATATCTGCCTAAGTGATATCTCCTCTGTGAGTCCCCATAATACCCCCCATCCTCATCCAAGTTCTTCTCTGTCCTCCTGGAATCAGGAGCCAGACCTTATTTGTCCCTCTATTTTTTTTAAATTTTATTATTTTTTTTTATTTTATTAGTGAGACATCATGAGGTACAGTTGTAGACTTACAAATTTTTGTACTTGGGTTTCAATTATACAATGATCAAATACCCATCCCTCCACCAGTACCCGTTTCCCACCACCACGGATCCCAGTATCCCTCCCACCCCTCACCCCCCCATCCCACCCTGCCTCTGTGGCAGGGCATTCCCTTTTGTTCTCTCTCTCTCTCTTATTGGGTGTTGTGGTTTGCAAAAGAGGCAATGGGTGACAATCATGTTTGGTCTATATGTCCCTCTATTTTTAGCTACCCATACGCAAGATATTGTATTCAATATGTTTTCTCTGTTATTAAAAAATTGCATTTTGAGGAAAGAATTGTGCATGTGCTCAAAAAAGAGAAATATGACTAACTAGAAGCCAAGAGGAGAGAGTACAGTGAATAAGTGATTGCCTTGCATGTGGCCAATCCACATTTAATTCCTGGCACCCATATGATTCCCTGAGTTTGCCAGGAGTGATTTCTGAGTGCAGAGGCAGGAGTGTCTTGAGCACTGCTGGGCATGGCCCCAAACTGTGTATGTGTGTATGTGTGTGTATGTGTTAATTCAGAAGATTAAGGATGATTTTCTTTTTCATAGAAATCTTTTCAAAATAACATAATATGCTGACAATACATGAGGTCAAAATGGTTTTCCAGTAGTATTCATCACCTTGGCTGTAATCAATTTAGTTTTCAAAGACTATCAGCAAGTTATTCGATTTCTCTTAACTTCAGTTTCCTCCTGTATTAATAAGCATTTGATAAAATTTTCAAATTAAATATCATGCCTGACTCAAAGCAAGAGGCTCAACAAATGTTTGTTTTATTGTTATGACATTCAACTGATTAGAAAGCACACTTCTATCCTTCTCCTGCACCTCTCTTATAGAAAACTTATGAACAGAGAGAAATCTGACTTCAGTAGACCCTTGTCCTGAAGTAGACACATGCTTGCAAATTTGGTGTTGCCGTTTACTTTTGTATTCTTTTCAGATTTCCTTCCTTTATTCATCAAATATTGATTGAGCACAAGATATGTGCCAGATACAGTGCACAGATCATTATGACCTAAACAGACAGGGTTCCTGGCTTCCAGGGCACTCACAGCCCAGTGAGAAAGTGTTTCATGAGAAATGTGACAAGGGAAGTACAAGCAGGTACAACAACATCCGTCTAAGGACCAAAATATTGTCATCCAAACTGCCCAAAAGAAAGATACTCAATATGAGGCCTGAAATATATGAATTCAATAAATAAAAAGGATATGAAGAGTCTTTAAAAACCATCATGATCAAAGGCATGATTGTGAGAGAATGTATCTGAAAAATGGAAAAAATTTCAGAATAGCTGGAGTATTCAAAGACTGATAAAGATCCAAAGACTTCCTTGTCAACATCAGGGACCAGGTCTTGGGCTATACATCCATGCAATCACTGTAGGAAGGATGTGATCAGGTTATATTCACATTTTGCTAAGACCTTTGGGGCTTCAATATAAGAAAAGTAAAGGGGATTAGAACCAGTAAGGTACCTGTTGCCATATTTATTTATTTCCTTTTTCCTCCCCCACAGATACGTGGATTAACTCATGTATTCCAGATAGTACCCCCACTGAAGAACCTATACTCAGCACTCAGGCTGCAACCTACACAACAGAAATGCCTATCAGTGACAGCACATACTCAGCATCATCTACTGATGCACCTGAGTCTAATTCATCTGCTTTGATACCAACTCCTCCTCCTACTTCTGTTATGGCTTCTACCTCTACTTCAAAGAAAATAAAATTAATTTGTGTAACAGAAGTTCTCATGGAAACAAGCACCTTGATGACCCCTACAGAAACAGAATTATTTGTTGAAAATCAAGTTGCATTCAAGAATGAAACCGTTGGGTTTGGAGGTATAAGTTTTCTGTGTCTGCACTGAATGTCTGAGAAACAGATAATATATAGAAATTAACCTGATTAATGCATTCAGAACCTTCCAGATTGGAAAAACGAATGCAAATCATCTTTCCTAAATGTACAGAATTTGAAGACATCACAGAACCTTAATGATTTAAAGATCTGGGCATAAAGAAAAAAAATTTTTTGAAATTTTTAGTTACTTGGGGTTACTCCTAGTTTCCATTCAGGAATTACTCCCGGAGGTGATCAGGGAACCAAAGGGGATACTGTGGATAAAATCTAGTCGGCCACATGAAAGGCAAATGCCCTACCCATTGTATATCGCTCCAGCCCAAGACATTTTTCTTTTAAAACTCAAAGGATTTAACAATGCAGCAATCCTGACTAGTGTATTTTTGCTCAAGAGCCTTATCTTATAAAATTGATGAGATTTTAAAAATGGTTTCTGCTCAATGCCACTGTTTGTGTGGAATTTGCACATTCTTCGCACATGCAAGTTTTCTCCTGTGTTCCACTCCTCCCACCTTCCAGAGATATGCTCATTAGAGTATCTGGTGTGTCTAACTTGTCCCACTCTGCGTGTACCTGTCTGAGCAAGGGCACCCTGTTACTTCACTTTTGGAACTGGGTTCCATCTTACTCTTGAGCTGCCAGCAGACCTTCCAGCCCTCCTCAACCCTGAACTAAAATAAGTGGGATGGTAAAAGAATGACTGGATGAATACTAATTATTATTTCCTATTAGATGTGTCTCTAAGCTTTATTTAGAAGCTTGTTGATGTTTTTTGACCAGAAATAAGTCATAGAAACATAACACTTATGCATATAAATTAGCCTATGGGAAAATTGATTTCTTCACAAAGACTTTGCATTAGTCACATTGTGAGGTGTACGTAATATGTAGACATTAACTTTTTTAATGTATGCTTTAAATTGGAAAATTTTCTTTCCTATTCAAAAGTGAGGTTTTTATACTTAATTAGCTCCTAACTTATCACCTCAAGGTCACAGAGAGGAAATAAACTCTGTCCTATTGCACCTTATTGAGCAAGGCCACGGTTTTGCAGGCCAGATTCAAAATCAGAAGGAGGCCCAGTGTCCAACGTGGCCCCTGAGAGTTCAGAGTTTCCTCCTGCACTGTTCATGGTGATCATCAGTGCACAGGTGGACCTTAGAAGAGCAGGTCCAGGAATGACTCAGGAGACCCACCAACCTGTGTCTCTTTTCGGCAGGTGTCCCCACAGCTCTGTTGGTGCTCGCGCTCCTCTTCTTTGCTGCCGCAGCTGGTCTGGCAGTTTGCTACGTCAAAAGGTGAGCTGGTTGGCACATCATCAGTCCTATAATGTTTGTCCATCCCTATGTTGTTTGTTTCCAACTTGTCATAGTATGTTTTTGGTCCAAATAGAAAGAGAAGTCCTCTCATGCAGTAAACTTTCTCCCTCATAGCACCTCTCCTTCCTAATACCCAATTTTCCCTTCTATTTAAGCCCATGCATGCCATTCATTTTTTAGATATAGTTTCATGGATGTTCCTTTATAATTTGGGGGGATTACTGGGGGGGACACACCTTTCAGGGCTTACTCCTGTCGCTCTGCTCAGGGATCACTCCTGACAGTGTTCAGGGGACTGTATGGGACACTGAAGATCAAACACAGGTCATTCTCATGTAAGACAAACATCCTACCTGCAGTACTATCACTCTGGTCCCTATTGTTTTGTTTTGTTGCAGCACCTGAGCTGTACTCAGTACTTACTTCTGGCTCTGTGCTCAGGGATCACTTCTGGCAGTGGTGTGGTACCAGGGATTGAGCCTGGGTTGGATGCATGCAAAGCATGTCTTTGCATATATGAACAAAGAGACCCAGCACAGTATGTCAAGATGAATCATCACAATACTTTGTTCATTTTACAATTCCACAGAAGCCTCTCACTGCAATTTTATGCTTCTGTCTATAGGTATGCAAAGGCCTTCCCCTTCACAAACAAGAATCAGCAGAAGGAAATGATTGAAACCAAAGTAGTGAAGGAGGAGATGATGGATGATTGCAACTCTAATGAGGAATCAAAAAAATTTGATAGAAAACCAGATGATCCCAAAAGTGCACCCAAAACAACAGTGCGATGCCTGGAAGCTGAAGTTTAGGTGAAAAAGAAGTGTGAGGGCACATCTGAGGCTGACTTCTTTCCTGATACACATACTGGCCCCAGATGGGAAAACAAAACAGGGCCAAAGAACCAAACAAGAAAGACCAGTCTTGGTTCCTAACTGGAATCAACTCCGGACCAAGCTGTTCACCAAAAGGAAGTCCTTCCTCCCATCCTTGATGAATTCTTTTCTCCTCCCTCCAAAGCTTCCTGCAGTCCTAGCTTCCTTATGAACTGAAATCCCAGTGGAGAAAGAACTTTCCTACCTTGCAAAGCTTAAGGACCAATAGAAGCTCATTAGAACTCACAATATAAAGAGAACTTCCTTTCTTTTTTTTTTTTTTATTAGTGAAACACCATGAGGTACAGTTGTAGATTTACAAATTTTTGTGCTTGGATCTCGGTCATACCACGATCAAATACCCATCCCTCCACCAGTGCCCATTTTCCACCACCAGGATAATATCCCTCCCCCCCCCATCCTCCCATCCCCCCCATCCCCCCCTGCCACTGTGGCAGGGCATTCCCTTTTGTTTTCTCTCTCCTCCTGGGTGTTGTGATCAGCCAAAGAGGCATTGAGTGGCGAACATGTTCAGTCCAGTCTACTTTCAACCTGCATCTCCCCTCCTGGGAGGATCCTCCAAACACCCTCCACTTGGTGTTCCCCTTTCTATCTGAATTGTCCTTTCCCCTAGAATATCTAGGAGAACTTCCTTTCTGACTGAGAAAATGAAGTACTAAAAACCAAGAAGCCACCAGAACCAAGGCTTTCTCCCCAGCACAGAATCTTTCTCCAGCTCTGTAAAGGAAACTCTTATACCAACTGACATGTTTTTCTAAGCCAGGCAGGAGCAAAATAATAATAATAATATTAATAATAATAACAGAAAAAAGAAGGAAAAAATATTTTGCAACTGAAAGCTTTGAAATTCCGTAACTTGAGACCTAATTTCTGTGAAACAAAAATAAATAGAAAAAAATAATGCAATCAAAGATATTGGCAGCATATTGGTAACAGAGACTTAAATATAGACACATCCAAAGTGTTAATCAATGAATAGTTTGAGTTGGAGTCATGATTTAGAACTTAACATGCTTTTACTCCTCCTCCTGCTCCTTTTCTCTAAAGAATTTACTTTAAAAAGATATCCAATGTTGTCTTATAGATTTCTATTTTTGTCTGAGTTACAGAATTATTAGTGAGAAAAAGTACTGTCCAAGAATCCATTAAGTTTGGGCCTGGAGCAATAGCACAGCGGGTAGGGCATTTGCCTTGCATGTAGCCAACCCGGATTCAATTCCCAGCATCCCATATGGTCCCCTGAGCACCGCCAGGAGTAATTCCTGAGTGAAGAGCCAGTAGTAACCCCTGTGCATCGCTGGGTGTGACCCAAAAAGAAAAAAAAAGAATCCATTAAATTTAACAAATATTTGCCAAATACCTACTATGTGTCAGCCCTGTGCTAAGTATTGCATCCTATAATTGAATCTTATTAAAAATGCATATAATAGAATTTTGTACAAAGTTAATTTTTAAAATTTTTTTATATCTTTCACTTATCTACTTTTAAAACTAATAATTTTTTGTTGCTGAGACTAATCTTTTTATTATTTTCCCTAATATGACAACCACTCTTATAACCTTAATTTATTATTAACATACATAAAAGTACATTATTACCTCTGTACACAAAGCACAATTTTTTAATGTCATTATGAAATGTTTCACTAGCTCTCCTTTTTCTAGCAAGAAGAGTCTGAAAAGAGCAGAAATATTTGTGTTGAGAAAATAAAAGCATTTAGAACATTTCTTTGCTCTCTTATTTACATAGATGCATTTACTTTTGTGCAAAATTTAAATACTATTGACTTGAATAGCACAGGTTTGAACTGTCAAGATCCACTGATTTGTGACATTTTCTTTTCTATCCTTGTGTTCAGCATTCATTGATTCAGCCTACGTAGGCTATTTTGGTTGAAAGCTCAGATGTAGACCCCATGGATACAAGAGCTTGCTGTATGGTACTTGAGCATCCCCTATTTTGGAGTTGGTGGGGAGATGGGTAGGTTTTGAAAGGAATCATTACATATACCACAGGAATAGTATAGTTCACTTTGAGGGAGTAAAATGTTTTCTGTGTTTTCTCAGCTATATTAGGTTGTTGCCGCAAGGTCCCACATTGTTCAGGAGTCAAATACAATCTGGTATTGGCTTAAGTGAAAAGCAAAGCTTTGGTTGTTGAAATGTTTACCTAACCAATTATATATTCTTACTTTCTTTAAGTAGTGATCTTATTTTTTAAACGTTTTTAAAAAATTAATTTAAGAACCATGATTTACAAAGTTATTGATAGTTGAGCTTTAGGCATAACATATTTCAACTCCAATCCCACCACAATGTTAACTTCCCTCCATCATTGTTTCCATGCTCCATCACCATCCCCTAACCCTCACCTAAGCCCCTTGACAGGAACATTGCAAAGTGTTTAAACCTAATGTTTTCAGTTATTGAATCTGTGCTTTGGATATATAGCTATAGCAGTCTTCCACATCATCACTCCTGTCAGGCCTAGGGAAACATATGGAGTGCTGGGGATCGAACCTGGGTCTGCAGCATATAAACCAAACTCCCAGCTCTCAGTACTATCTCTCCAGTCTAAGACAAACATATTTTAGGATTAAAAAGGTCAAGGGAAAGACCAACACAATAGTACCAGGTATAGGGTGTTTGCCTTGCACAAGGCCAACCAGTTTCAATCCCTATATCCCATATGGTCTTCTGAGACTGCCAGAAGTGATCCCAGAGGACAGAGACAGGATTAAGCCTTGAGCACCACCAGAGGCTCCAAAAATAAAACAAAAAATATAAAATAAAATTAAAAAGTGGCAGGAATGGGCTGGAGAGAGAATATAACAGGTAGAGTGCTTGCTTTGCACATGGGTGACCCTGGTTTGATCCTCAGCATCCCATGTGGTCCCCCAAAGCATGCCGGGAGTAATTTCTGAGAGCAGAGCCAAGAGTAACTCCTGAACATTGCCAGGTGTGGCCCCAAAACGAAAACAAAGAATGGTCAAGGGAAGTAGATAGCTTGAGGTTCTGGCTGTGTTTTTGCATAATGGGAGTTTTTAAAATATGTATTTATTTCCTTGAACTATATTTCATCACATTGATTCCCATAATAAACAAATCTATTTTTTTTTTTGCCCTTCTCTGAATCATTTAACTATTGCCCAAAGCAAACTAGGAAACAACAGGTTTCCAAGGAGAGCAGCAGCAATATGCAAGCATACAAACTCTTACTAAGGAAGGGGAGGGTTACTTTGCCAAAAAGAGAAAACATTTGCTTCAAACAAGAACAAAAGCAATTATTTCTCAGCTCAATCTTCTAGAGAAGTGAAACTAATTTTTGCTATTTATCCTTTAATTTTCTCTATGTGAGGCTAAATTTAACTCAGATCATTTTTTGGCACTAAAGATAGCCAGGAGAACTCTCCTGTTTCCAAGAAACACTCAAAATGTCCGAGCAAAGCTGAAGCAATTAGGTGTTACCCTTTAGTATCTAGAAGGAAAATATCTTGATGAACCTATTTGATAAAAAATATTCATATATATATTCAATACAAATTGTGAAGATAGTAGAGAGATCCCATATTACCATACACCTGTTGGCACTATTATCCCCAACAACACGACTTACAGTGTTGGTATAACTATTCATCATCACGACGAATCACGACCATCCTGATATCCGTCGATTGCCTCTAGCAGCCCCCAGTAACTTCTCCTTCATCCTAGCCCTGAGATTAGTGCTATATTTAAGGCTCTTTAGGAGAATGAGACCCATCATTGTTACTGGTATTTGGCATATTGGGTATGCCACGGGGAGTTTGCCAGACTCTGCTGTGTGGGCAGGTTACATTCGGTAGCCTGCCAGTTTGTCTAAAGTAAGAACGAGATAAGATGTCATATTAAGATGTGGCGCGGTCACAGATATTCATGAATTATTTTTATTAATTAAAAGACAGTTTGTTATGATATTCATTTTCATCTAGTATCTTTTGTTCTGTTTTATGTGAAACAGTACTACATTTAGTTAATTTGTCTCCTTAGGTGCCTCTTTGCTGTGAGAGTCACTCAGACTTTTCTTTTCCTTCATAATTTTGTCCATTTTGAACACCAAACAGACACCGTTCACATTGTCCTTCACTTGGGATTTCTCTGGGGTTTTGTTTTGATTACCTAGCAGAGATGAGGAAGGACCACAGAGGGAAAGTGGCTTCTCCATTTCACCAATTCAAGGGTGTACACTATCAATTATCCTTCTCACTATTTACCTTGCCCAGACTGGTCATGTCTGTCAGTTTCTCCAGGTAAAGTTCCTTTTTGGCTTTTCCCATACAGTGCTGCTTGGGAAGAAGTCATTATGCACAGTTGATACTTAGAATTAAACTCTTCTTGAGAGTAGAATATCTACATGCATTATTTAAAATTTCTCCATCTGATTCCCATTCCTGGCAACATACACCTCCTGAGCATCACCTGGTGCAGCTCTGAAGGACCTCAATATCCCAGGGTGGCCTGTATGTTCCCAGCAATGCAAGGTCCAGGTATTGTATCCTCTGACCCTTGCATTGAACCTCCAGCCAACTAACCGTGAATCACTTGGATTTCCTGGCCCTCCTGAGCCACTACTTGGGAGACGCCACCCAAATAACATAAAATAAAAAGTAGAATTCCCTCATCTAGTAGTTCATTTTCCCTCATTAAATTATTTAAATATTTACTCATATAAATACAATCTCATGAATATTTTTATTTTCCTTAAGTTATAAATATAACTCAGTTTAACTTATTTTTTGCTTAAATGGTTCTATCTAAGACCATTGGAAGCTCAGTTCATTCCTGTGTCTTTTTGACCTACCTCCATCAGTATGTTTCTATTAGGTTCTTACTACCACTATATGATGATCCAAACTCATCTTTTATACTTCCTTCAGTTCTAGAACAAGTTATTTCTCCAAGTACCCCTCCCTGGTCCATCACTACTTGGAGGTGTTGCTTCTAGGCCCCTCCCAGAAACACAGATATCAACAATCTTGACATTTTCCAAGTTTATATTTATCAATGATTTTTTTTTCAGAAGGGAGAGTCCTAAGGTTACAGCAGCAGGAGAAAGGCAAACTGTTGAATTAGAAGGCAAAGAAGAGTCTCTTTGTCTCACTGAGTGACAGCTGCCACTGGCATAGTCCCAGGGCCAGGAGACAATCAAGCGCTTTTCTCTCAGTACCAGTTACCAAATCCTGCCTCAACTGCTGTGAACATGCTGGAGATAAATGATCTCTTTAAAAAAAATTTGTTTTAGGCATCATGATTTATATTACTATTAATGATAGGGTTTCATGCATACAAGTTTTCAACACCACACCCTCCACCATTGTTTCAGGATCTCATCCTGGCCATCCCCAGCCCTTCGTAAACTCAGTTCCCTAGAGCAGTTCTCTGGTTCCTTTGTCTTTGGTCATTGTTATTTCCTTATATGTTTGTTTATAATGATTGTTTTAAATTTTTGAGACCAAAATACATTTTCCAATATTTTGGCTTTATTTATTTATTTATTTATTGGTTTTTGGGTCACACACGGCAATGCATAGGGGTTACTCCTGGCTCTGCACAGAGGAACTATTCCTGGTGGTGCTTGCAGGAGATCATATGGGATGCTGGGAATCAAACCCGGGTTGGCCGCCTACAAAGAAAATGCCCTACTCACTGTGCTATCACTCCAGCCCCTTTGGCTTTTTTTCAAACAAAGATATCTGTATAGACACAGGAAGATAGTTAATGCTATGCTTTTATAATTTAGAGTTAATTGACTCTGAATAATATTTACCCTTGGGCATCTGTCATATTTACTCGACTTAATCCTCAATTGCCCTTAGCTCCTAGGACCCCAAAAGCAGGATCCTGACAAAGGAACTTGATGGACACAAGGCAAGCTGTAAGCTACCCTGGTATTGAAACAGGACAGACCAAGTACTATAAAACATAATAAATTAAGAGCACGGTTTTGGACAAATTCTGTCATGACCCAAAGAGAAGTGACTGGACAAAGACCCTACAGGTATTAGGAGGGACTAATCTGGCTGAGGACCGTAGTCTTGGATCTATAGTGAGATGTCCCCAGGAGAGCCACCCAATAAGCTTAATAGATCTCTTACTGTATCCATACAAAATAATAGAAAGATTATTAAGAAGTAAATCTAAGATGATTGTTTATGGACTAAGGAAAGGGGAGTATATCCTTAGATGAAATTCCACCCTTGAAAAGATCCCATCTCCTAGCAGAAGGTGACAAAGATTCCCTTTGTCTTAAAAGAGTTTGCCCTGAAAGGAAGGGCTTTCATATGTTGATTGTGCTATCTGACCAATGTTTATTTTTACCCCCAACATTGGAGGTTGAGTTTTTTGTTTATTTGGTTTTTTGACTTTTGGGGTCACACAGGGGTAACTCCTGACTTTGCAGTCAGGAATTACTCCTGGCGATGCTCAGGGGACCATATGGGATGCTGGGAATTGAACCCGGGTTGGCCGTGTGCAACGCAAACTCCCTACCCGCTATACTATCACTCCAGCCTTGGAGGTTGGGTTCTTGACTAAAGCTGAGAGACTGGTCCTGGAAAACTAGCATGGGAAAAGTAGGAGATGGGGATGAGGGGCAGTGTGAGACTAGAAGGGGGTGCTCAAATCTCAAGGGAGATTGGAATAGGCTCACCGGGAGAATGGAATTAACAGCGGGATGGATATTGGAA